TTGCAAAAATAAACAAAATTGACAAACCTCTAGCCAGGCTTCTCAAAAATAGAGAGGAAGAGGATCCAAATAGATAAAATCATGAATTAAGATGGATTTCTCACAACCAATCCCTCAGAAATACAAGCAATTATAAGAGAATAGTAGGAAAACTTACATGCCAACAACTGGACAACCTGGAAGAAATGGACAAATTCCTAACACCCACACACTACCAAAACTCAAACCAGGAGAAATAGAAAATTTTAAAAAACCCATAACTAGTGAAGAAATTGAATCAGTTATCAAAAATCTCCCAACAAATAAGAGTCCTGGACCCGATGGCTTGCCTGGGGAATTCTACCAGACATTTAAACCGGAGTTAATACCTACCATTCTCAAGCTGTCCCAAAAAGGAGAAATGGAAGGAAAACTTCCAGACTCATTCTATGAAGCCAGCATTACTTTGATTCCTAAACCACACAGAGACCCCACAAAAAAGGAGAACTATGAGCCAATATCCCTGATGAACATGGATGCAAAAATTCTCAACAAGATACTAGCAAATCGAATTCAACAGCATATCAAAAGAATTATTCACCATGATCAAGTGGGATTCATTCCTGGGCTGCAGGGCTGGTTCAACATTCACAAATCATTCAGTGTGATCCATCACATTAACAGAAGAAAAGATAAGAAACATGATCCTATCAATAGATGCAGAAAAAGCATTTGGTAAAATACAACATCCTTTCTTAATAAAAACCCTCAAGAAAGTTGGCATAGAAGGAACATACTTAAACATCATAAAAGTCATATATGAAAAGCCCACAGCTAGTATTATCCTCAATGGGAAAGACTGAAAGCTTTTCCCCTGAGATCAGGAACACGACAGGGATGTCCACTCTAACCACTGTTGTTTAACATAGTGTTGGAAGTCCTAGCATCAGCAATCACACAACAAAATGAAATAGAAAGCATGAAAACTGGTAAAGAAGAAGTCAAACCCTCACTTTTCGCAAACGACATGATACTCTACATGGAAAACCCAAAAGACTCCACCAAAAGGCTCCTAGAAATGATACATGAATTCAGCAAAGTCTCAGGATACAAAATCAATGTACAGAAATCAGTTGCATTTGTATACACCAATAATGAAGCAACAGAAAGAAATAAAGAAACTGATCTCATTTACAATTTCACAAAGAACCATAAAATACATAGGAATAAACCTAACCAAAGATGTAAAAGGTCTGTATGCTGAAAACTATAGAAAGCTTATGAAGGACTGAAGAAGACACAAAGAAATGCGAAAACATTCCATGCTCTTGGATTGGAAGAATAAACATTGTTAAAATGTCAGTACTATCCAAAGCAATCTACCCATTCAATGCAATCCCAATCAGAGTGCACAGAGCTAGAATAAACACCCTAAAATTTGTATGGAACCACAAAAGACTCCAAAGAGCCAAAGTAATGTTGAAAAAGAAAACCAAAGCGGGAGGCATCACAATCCCGGACTTCAGCCTCTACTACAAAGCTGTAATCATCAAGACAGTATATGGTATTGGCACAAAAACAGACACATAGACCAATGGAATAGAATATAGAACCCAGAATTGGACCCACACATATATGGCCGACTAATCTTTGACAAAGCAGGGAAGAGGACCCAATGGAAAAAAGACAATCTTGTCAGCAAATGGTGCTGAGAGAACTGGACAGCAACATGCAGAAGAATGAAACTGGACAACTTTCTTACACCATACACAAAAATAGACTCACACTGGATGAAAGACCTAAATGTGAGGCAGGAAACCATCAAAACCCTCGAGGAGAAAACAGGCAACAATCTCTTTGACCTCAGCCACAGCAACTTCTTAATCGACACATCTCTGAAGGCAAGGGAAATAAAAGCAAAAATGAACTATTGGGACCTCATCAAGATAAAAGCTTCTGCACAGCAAAGGAAACAATCAACAAGACGAAAAGGCAACCAACGGAATGGGAAAAGATGTTTGCAGATGACATACCAGATAAAGGGCTAGTACGCAAAGTCTATAAAGAACTTATCAAACTCCACACCCAAAAAGCAAATAATCCAGTGAAGAAATGGGCAGAAGACATGAATAGACACTTTTCCAAAGAAGACACCCAGATGGCCAACAAGCACATGAAAAGATGCTTAATGTCACGCATTATCAGGGAAATACAAATCAAAGCCACACTGAGATACCACCTCACAACACCTACCAGAGTGGCTAAAATTAACAAATCAGGAAACAACAGATGTTGGCAAGGATGTGGAGAAATGGGAACCCTCTTGCACTGTTGGTGGAAATGCAAACTTGTGCAGCCACTCTGGAAAACAGTGTGGAGGTTCCTCAAAAAGTTAAAAATAGACCTACCCTACCACCCAGCAATAGCACTATTAGGAATTTATCCAAGGGACACAGGAGTGCTGATGCATAGGGGCATATGTACCCCAGTGTTTATAGCAGCATTTTCAACAGTAACAAAATTATGGAAAGAGCCTAAATGTCCATCAAGTGACAAATGGATAAAGAAGATGGTTTATATATACAATGGAATACTACTTGGCAATGAGAAAGAATGAAATCTTGCCATTTGCAGCAACATAGATGGAACTGGAGGGTATTATGCTAAGTGAAATAAGTCAGTCAGAGAAAGACAGATATCATATGTTTTCACTCATATGTGGATCTTGAGAAATTAACAGAAGATCATGGGGGAAGGGAAGGGGAAAGAGAAAAAGTTACAGAGAGGGAGTGAGGCAAACCATAAGAGACTCTTAAAGACTGAGAACAAACTGAGGGTTGATGGGGGGTGGGGGAGAGGGGAAAGTAGGTGATGGGCATGGAGGAGGGTACATGCTGGGATGAGCACTGAGTGTTGTATGGAAATCAATTTGACGATAAATCATATTAAAATGTACACACACACACACACACACACACACACTAGAATACTACTTGGCAATGAGAAAGAATGAATTCTCACCATTTGCAGCAACGTGGATGGAACTAGAAGGTATTATGCTGAGTGAAATAAGTCAGTCAGAGAAGGACAGATATCATGTTTTCACTCATCTGTGGATCTTGAGAAACTCAAGAGACATCCATGAAGGAAGGGAGGGGGAAAATTAGTTACAAGCAGAGAAGGAGGGAGACAAACCATAAGAGACTCTTAAATACAGAGAACAAAGTGAGGGTGGATGGGAGGGTGGGGGAGAGGGGAAAATGGGTGATGGGCATCGAGGAAGGCACTTGTTGGGATGAGCACTGGGTGTTGTATGTAAGCCAATTTGAGAATAAATTATATTGAAAAATAATAAAATTCAGGTGCTCCATATCTTCCCAACTGTAATATTGATAATCTAAGGGACTAAATATGGGACCCCATTGTGGTTTTAATTATCAATCCATTATTATTAATTAGGTTTGTCAATTTTACCAGTGTTTTTGGATATTCATGTTTCAAAAAATAAGACTTTTCATATTTTACCCAGTGTTTAACTGGCTTGTTTGACATCTTTTATCTCTTAGTCACTTGTATAAGTTACAAATACCTTCTCTCTATGAGTCTTATCTTCTTTATTGTAATGGTACATTTTAATAATCCAGAAACTTATGATAATGTCAAAAGCAATATTTAATCATGCAGTTGTGTGTGTGTGTGTGTGTGTGTGTGTCTTTTAAAAGAAATAGTTCTCTGACACAAATGGTTAAGTTTGTCTCATATATTGTCTTGAATCTTCCTGTAAGTAGTTGTATGTGTTATAAGATAGAAATATAATTTTATTTCCAAATTTGCTTTATTTTCCCATATGGCTAACTTATTTTGTTTGTACCATTTATGATAGATTATATCCGGAGTCTTTTTTCTATTTCATTAATCATTGTACTTCTATTTTGATGCCGCTGATAGTGTCTTACTGTTTCTAGTTTTATAATAAATCTTGATCCAGAAGGTAAAAAAGTAATCATTTATTTAGGTTACTACTAAATATATGATAAAGTAATGGTATTTCTTAGAAAAATGTTTTGTAAAGGTGAGGATTTTTATCTTCAAATTCCTCAGATGCTTTTTTATTGTGTTAAATTAGCCACAAGCAAACATATCTTTTTAGTTTTCAAATTAATGTCTTAAGGGTGAAAATCATTTATTTCACATAGTATTTCACATATTATTTCAAATAATAATTTCACATAATAATTTCAAATAATAAATAATTTTTTATTTCCTCAACAACATCTTCTTTTCTATTTTTGTTCTCCATTTATTTAAACAATAATGGTCATAGAAGTTTAATAGTGGTACCCCCAATTTAATTTCATTTTAAATTTTGCATATCAGTTTTTTTATTTGATTCTTAATAATTGGAAGCGTGAAGTCAGAAAGGATTAGGATACTAATGACTTCCATCGCCTTTTACTCTATTTTAAGGAGTTTCTGATGTCTATCTAGTAACTCGATAGCCTCTACTTTCTAGCTATTAATTTAGTACCAAGTTGTTGATGGAATGAGACCTGGAATAATTCCCAGCCACATTTAAAAAAATTGTTTAAGTATTTATTTATTTATTTATTTATTTATTTATTTATTTATTTAGAGCATGTGCATGCACACACACAAGTGGGGGAGGGGCAGAGAGAGGGGGAGAGAACCCAGGCTCTGTGCCTTCAGTAAAACCCAGATGTGAGATCATGACCTGAGCCAAAGTCAAGAGTGGGATGCTTCACCAACTGAGCCACACAGGCACCCTCCCAGGCCATATTTTAATAGGAATGAGTGTTTGCTTTTTTGAATACATTTCACATATTTAAGTATCTGAATGAGAGAGTTATTTCTGGTAATGATTTGAACTTTATTGCTTTTTATAGTTCTTTTTTGTTCTCTAGCTGTTTTAGGAATTGAAAATAAACTGTGTAAATTATAAATATAGTATATGTTAAGAAATGATACCATAAAACATTGAAATCCAGATAATTAAGACTTACCTCTATTTCTTTTCTTAATTTTTCATGTGTCTTTTCTTCTTCCTCAAGAAAGAAAGTTTTTTCAATGATAGATTCTTTTACAGCTATAATTTTAGCCTTCAGCTTTATAATGTCTTCCTGCATATTTATAAAATTTAAAATATACAAGTCAAACAATGAATGATCAATATACGTCCAACATTTTTAGTGTTTCTATAATTTAAAAAAAATAGACATCGTATTTAATTTTGGTAAACAGGATTAGAACATTACTTCTATAGGTACAAAGAATAAAGAACTGTTATTCAAACAAATAAACCTTTGACTTAAAGACATAAAATTAAAACTAAATGTAGATAAGACATAAAAAATAAGTGGTAGTCATAGTGGCAATTGCCCAGCAACAGTATAAAGGATACTTTTAAATTCTCTAGCAAGAAATGATAGATATTTTAACTTTATATCTCCCCATCTTCAAACAATACTCTAAAAAATAGAAGATGCTTAAGGTGCAATTATTAATTGATGCTGTTTGTATAACAGCATTACGCATACTAAATTGATTTGAATTGGTTGGATCCATTAGCTTAAGCTAGGGCTTCAACGTTTTTGTGAGTCACCAGTTTCTGCAAAAAATGGATTAATTGTTCACTGCAATTCTGTTTGAATTTTTTTATTAATCCACAGGGGATTTGAGAACAATTCCTTTATGCATTTGTTCATTTGGCATAGTTGTTATATAACTCATGTATTTAAGTTTTTAGAAGTTGTGAAAATAGTTTCTAAATCTAGTTAAAGCAGCTATGGGTGTTTTATTAAATTTATCACTTAATAAGTGTGCTTGAAAAAAGGAGTAATAGAAAAACTTTTGGTAAGTGATATTTCAAACCTGTGCTTGTTTTATGTGGTTTCCTTCTGGATTTTTGAGATTTTGCATAAGTTCCTCTTTCATTGTTTTTAGTTTTCTAACAAGATCTCGTTTTTCATGGAGTGTAGTCATGAATGACCTTTTGCTTCCAGCCTCCCACAAACTATCTTTATGCTCTTTTATTTTTGCATAATATTCATTATATCTTATCATGTGTTCCTCAAAGTCTTCTTGAGCTCCTTCTATGTCAAATTTAAGCTTTACATTTTCTGTATGTAAGGATTTGATTTGAGTTTCCAGGTTCCCACACTGTAGTTTGGTATTCTCGATGGCAGCATCTTGCTGATAAATTTTCCTTTCTGTTTCTTTAGTTTCTGCAGAGACAGATGCTATTTGTTTTTCAAGCTCATGGAGTTCATCCTGTAAAATATTTCAATATTATTGTTATTAATTTATGATACTCAAAAAAGAGGATACTATTGTTTTGATCCATAATTCATGTTGTGAAATCACAACATAAAAATACCTATTTATCAGATATTGAAAAACTGTTATACAAAAAGAACCATTCAATAAGTAACAAATTATCTTATAATCTTGAAGTGAGCCCAGAATTATATATTTCTTACTTTTTAATGTTCATCTAATTCAAAATATTAAAATTTACTGTTTGTGTTAACATTTCATATTAAAATGTACTTTACAATCATTTAAATAATATATTTATGGAATCAGAAGTATGCACTGAAGAAAGATAATATGATGAAAATTATAAAGCCCTAGGTTAAAAATCAAAAGATCTATATTCTAGGGCCCTTACTGACATTTACTAGTTGGTATGATCATATATAGCAAACTTAATTGCCCTATCTAAACCTAAACCTCACTTTATTCATTTATAAATAAGTATAAAGATGTCTGCCTTACCTCTCTGGGGCAGTTGGCATTTCTCACCAGCACCTCCTTTTTTTTAATGTTTTATTTATTTTTGAAAGAGCATAAGTGGGGGAGGAGCAGAGAGAGAGGACAGAAGATCCAAAGCAGGCTCTAAGCTAACAGCAGCGAGCCTGATGTAGGGCTTGAACTCAGGAACTCCTAGATCATGACCTGAGTTGGAGTCGGATGCTCAACCGACTGAGCCACTCAGGTGCACCACCAGCACCTCCTTTTTATTTTTTTAATTATTATTTTTAATATAATTTATTGTCATATTGGTTTCCGTACAACACCCAGTACTCATCCTAACAAGTGCCCTCCTCAATGCCCATCACCCACTTTCCCCTCTCCTCCACCCCCCATCAACCCTCAGTTTGTTCTCATTATCCAAGAGTCTCTTAAGGTTTGCCTCCCTCCCTCTCTGTAATTTTTTTCCCCTTCCCTTCCCCCATGATCTTCTGTTAAGTTTCTCAAGATCCACATATGAATGAAAACACATGGTATCTTTCTCTGACTTATTTCACTTAGCCTAATACCCTCCAGTTCCATCTATGTTGCTGCAAATGGCAAGATTTCATTCTTTCTCATTGCCAAGTAGTATTCCATTGTGTATATAAACCACATCTTCTTTATCCATTCGTCACTTGATGGACATTTAAGCTCTTTCCATAATTTGGCTATTGTTGAAAATGCTGCTATAAACATTGGGATACGTGTGCCCCTATGCATCAGCACTCCTGTATCCCTTGGGTAAATTCCTAGTAGTGTTATTGCTGGCTCATAGGGTAGTTCTATTTTTAACTTTTTGAGGAACCTCTACAGTTTTCCAGAGAGGTTGCACCAGTTTGCATTCCCACCAACAGCAGCACCTCCTTTTTAAAACATAGTTTTCACACCACCATTCTTCTCTGGTTCTCCTCAGATACCTGAACATTCCTTCTCAATCTCAGTCATTCCTTCAAATATAGGTCTTCCTCAGGGTGCAACCATCATCATCTCCTCCTCTCATTCTATGTATATTCCTTGAGTAATCTCACCCATACTTGCATCTAGAGCTACATATATGCCAATGATTCACAGAACATAACTGGCTGTTAAGTCCTATACCCAGGTATCCACTGGCCATTTCAAATTCACCACGTCCCCAAATCAGACTAATCTTTCTCCCCTTCCCATCGTGTTCTTCCTTGCATTACTTATCTATTGTCAGGACCACAGAACCTCAGTGACATACAACAATACATATTTATTGCTCATAGCTGGAATTGGCTAGATGCTGACATTGGTTAGATTTGCTCAAATGTCTGAGAATTGACTGGCTGTAAGATGGTTTGGCTTGGCTGACTGGGCTGGCCATGATGTCTTGGCTTTGCTTCATATATATCTTATCCTCTAGTGGGACAGACCAGGCATATCCTTCCCATGATGATAGCAGATGCAAAAGAATGGAAGCATCCTTTTTATGGAATTATGGAAGAGCTTTCTCAAGCTTCTATTCATAACATCTGTTAACATCCCAGCTAGTCATATGATGCAACTCACAGTCAAACGCCCACCCGTGGTAATGATACATGGGGAAGGGTATGAATACAGACAAGGATGAAGAATTGGGACCAAAAATGTGAATTACCATACCCCTGGATTCCCAAACTAATTAACGAATGGTACTACTTTGGGAGCCATCCCTAATTATTTCCTTCTCCTTATTATCTATATCTGTTAATCAAATTTTATAGATCCTCCCTCCAAAACAACTCTGAAGACCATCATCCATCCTTTTTTTTTTTTTTTTTTTTTTTTTGTCTAGTATGGCCATTCTTTTTAAATAAATTTTTAATTTTGGGAAGGGGCAATGCATTAAAAAGTCAGACCAAGTTATCGTTTTCCTGGCAGAGACAAGAAAGAGAAAAATACAATATGTTGAGGAACCTCTATTTTTATCTCCAGTTCTGATATTTCAAATACCCACTTGATTTTTTTATTCGGATACCCAATAGACATCTCAACTATACATGTTCAGAAAATAATCGACACACCCAATATGTTCCTCCCCTAGTCTTCCCGATTTCAATAAATTGCGCCACCTTATACCTAGATACTCAAGACCTACAATTCATTCTTGATTCTTCCCTTTACCTAACTCCCCACAGCCTAATTCAGCAAAACTTGATGGTTGGGCCTCCAAAATAAAATCCCACATTCACTTCTGACCAATTTCTTTATTGTGGCCAGAATCCTGCCTGGTCTCCCTATTTCCATTCCCCCCCCCCCCCGCCCCGCCACACATCTGAGCTCCATATATCAGGCAGGAGAATCTTTCAAAAACATAAATCATATCATGTTACTTCCCAGCTCAGAACCTTCCAGTGGTTTCCTATTGCATTAATAATAAAATTCAAATTCCTTAATGTAGCTTACAAAGCTATATATCCTCTAGCCACTATTTACTGTGCCATTCCTCTCACATTCTACTCTCCCCTCCTCCACCTTCCTTTCTGTTTATTAAATGTGCCTAATGACTTTTTATTGGAGAGTAATTGTGATCTCAACCTTAGATGTGTCTACCTTTAGTTATTACCTATTGGAGTCTTTGTCTTCCGCAATTCAGTTTTATTATTACTCTTCAAATAGTCTTCTCTGAATTAAAATATAGATTAACCATCCATCCTTCTCCTTGCATTACTCTCTATACATTATTGTATTTCCTTTGAAACACATCAATTAATGGAATTACCTTTTTTGTTTTATTTCTTTATTGCCTGCATCCCCTGACTAGAGAGTAAGCCCCCTGGGTGCAGTAACCTTGTCTATTTTCTTTACTATTATGTTCTCAGGTCTTAAAATTGTACCTAGTACAAAAAAGGTGCTCAATAAATATTAAATGATTGAATGAATGATGCACAGGGACACATGCACTGCCAACTAGATGAGGCTATTAACACTATTTATCAATATGGGGAAAGATATTTCCACGGATTTGGTAATCATTTCTTCTCTCTCCTGGACTAATATAATAGGTTATTAATGTTTCTCCCTGGCTTGAGTCAATTCCTCCTTCAATCCATTTCTTTCACTAGATCTATATTTTTTGTTCTCCTCCCTCTCCTCCCCTTCTTCTTAATACCCAATGCCTCCTCCTCCTTTTACTTCTCCTCTTTCTTCTTCTGTCCCTTCTTCTTCCCCTCTCCCTCTTCTCTTTTTTTGTTTATAGATTTATTGAGGTAGAATTTACATAAACTGCACATATTTAAACTTTACAATTTGATGAGTTTTGATTTATTTTTATGCTCTTGAGACCACCACAATTAAGATAATAAACATATCCATTACCAACGAGCTTCCTCCTGCTACTTTGCAATCCATCCTTCCTCCCCATCTCTCCATTCTCAGACAACCATTTATTTTCTGTCTCTTACTAAAGATAAGTTTGCATTTTCAAGAATTTTTTATAAATACATTATCACAATATATACTTTTTAAGTCTTACTTCTTTCAGCATAAATACTTTTAGATACCACTGTATTGTTATACGTATCATTAGTTCTTCCTTTTTATTGATGAGTAGCATTCCATTGTATGGGTATACCACACTTTGTTCTGATGGGTATTTTCGTTGTATGCAGTTTTCCAGTGAGTATACACTTTCATTTCTCTTGGGTAAACAAATATCTAGAAGCTGAATGGCTGAGTTATACAGTAAATATATTTTAACCTTTTGGGAAACTGTGAACTGTTTCCTAAGTGGGTGTATTTACATTCCAAATAACAGAATCTGAGAGTTCCAATTCTTCCATATCTTCTTTACAATACTTGGTATGGTCAGTCTTTTTAAATTTAGTCATTCCAGTGGTATAGAGTAGTATCTCATGATGATTATAATTTGCATTTCCTTAATGATGAATGATATTGATATTATCTTTTCATTTGCTTGTCTTTTGTAATATCTTCTTTAATAAAACGACTATTCAAATATTTTGTCCAGGTTTTAATTGGGTTGTTTGCCTTCCTGAGTTGTAGGATTTGTTTATATACTGTAAATATAAGCACATTGTCATATGTGTTTTCAAATAATTTTCCCAGTCTATGACAATCCAAATGTCCATAGGGCCCCAACAAATATACCATATATTCATTTTTAAAAGTGTCTCTTGAGTAGAAATTAAAAAATATTTCCGACGAAGTCCAATTTTTAAATTTTTGTGTCCTATTTAAGACATCTTTACCAAACTCAGTATCACTAAACTTTTCTCCTATGTTTTTTTCTAGACATTTTATAGCTTTAATTCTTACACTTAGGCTGCTAATCCATTTTGAGTTAATTTTTCCATGTGGTATGAGGTGAAAATTGAGGTTCACTTTTTTTGCATGTGGCTGTCCTCTACCATTGTTGAAAGACTATTCTTTCTCTAAAGGATGGTCTTTGCACCTGCCTTAGCCAGCTTGGCTGTTATAAAAAAATACCATAGATTAGGTGGCTTAAATAACAAGCATTTATTTCTACAGTTCTGAGAAATCAAGGTGCCAGCAGATTCAGTTCCTGGTGATGACCGTGTTTCTGGTTTGCCGATGGCTGCCTTCTTCCTTTGTCCTCGTATGGAAAACAGAGTTCTGGTTTCTCTTCCTCTTCTTTTTTTTTTTTAACCTTTTTTTTTAAGGCTTATTTATTTTTGAGAGAGAGAAAGTTCTGGTAGGGGAGGAACAGAGAGAGAGAGAGAGAAACACACACAGAATCCGAAGCAGGCTCCAGACTCTGAGCTGTCAGTATAGAGCCTGACACGGGTTCAAACTCATGAACTGGGAGATCATGACCTGAGGTCAGACGCTTAACCGACTGAGCCACCCAGGCGCCCCTTTTCCTCCTCTTCTTATAAGGACAGTAACTCTATTATAGTGGCACCACCCTCATAAAGTCACCCAAATCTTACTTTCCAAAGGCCTTACCTCAAAATTTCAGCACACTAGGGGAAACACAAACATTCAATCCATAATAGCACCTTTGAAATCAATCGATATGTGTGGGGCTATTACTGCATACTCTGTTCTGTTCAATGGATCTGTAGGTCTATCTTTATTCCTTATCATACTGTCCTGATTGCTCTATAATAAATCTTTAAGTCAGGTAACGTATGAACTTCTACATTGTTTTTCTTTTTCAAAATTGTTTTGGCTATTCTGGGTCCTTTCCATTTTCATATGAGTTTTAGAATCGGCAATTTCTCAAAAAAAAGAAAAAAAAAAGCCTGCTGGGATTTTGATTAGAATTGCTTTTAAACTATAGATAAAATTGAAAGAACTTACATGTTAACAATACTGACTCTTCTGACTCTTGAAAATGGTATATCTCTCTATTTATTTAGGTCTTTATTTTCTCTCATCAGTGTTTTCAGCATACCAGTCTTAAGACAAATTGTCTTAGTCGGCTTGGGCTGCCATAGCAAAATACCATAGACTCAGTAGCTTAAATAACAGACATTTATTTCTCATGGTTCTAAAGGCTGAAAGTGTGTCAGCATGGTTGGGTTCTGGTGAGAGCTCTCTTCTTGGCTTGCAGACAGCCACCCTCTCACTGTATCCTCACAGCAGAGAAAGAGAGAGAGCAAGCTCTCTGGTGTTTCTTCTTATAATGGCACTACTCGTGTCATGAGGATGACTTCATCTAGGCCTAATTACCTCCTAAACCCCCCATCTCCAGATACAATCACATTGGGGGTTAGGGCTACAACATATGAATTTGGGTGAGGGGGACACAAATATTCAGCCCATAACACAAACCTTTTGTCACATTTACCTCTAAGTAAATGATAATGCTACTGTAAATGATATTGCTATTTAAATTTTAATTTCTGGTTGTTTCTTTCATATACAGAAATACAATTGATATTTATATACTAATCTTGTACCCTGCAACCTTCATAAACTCACTTATTAGTCCTAATCTGTTTTTTTAAAGATTCCTTAGGATTTTCTAAAGATAATCATGCTACCTGTGAATAAAAGTGGTTTACTTCCTCCTTTCCGATATGGATGCCTTTTATTTATTTTCCTTTCATGATTGCACTTGCTTGAACCAGCAGTATGACAGAAAGAAAAGACGTGGTAAGAGCATACATCCTTGCCTTGTTCCTGATCTTAAGGGAGAAACAGTCTTTTGCCATTAGGTATGAAGTTGGCTGTAAGATTCATAAATGGATATATATGCCCTTTTTTAGATTAAGGAAGTTCTACTCCTAATTTGCTGAGAGTTTTTATCATGAATGGATGTTGGATTATGAAAAGTGTTTTTTATGCATCTATAATTCTCTTTCTAAAATATAAAGGTAATCATTTGCAAACCCATCAAAACCTTCCCATCACCTTTAGAATACATCCAGGTTTCTGATCACAGTATATATCTCCCACCATGTCTCAAAACACACCCTATGCTATACTGCCACCAAACTACATGTACAGTTGACCCTTGAACCACACAGATTTGCACTGCATGGGTCCACTTATAGGAAGATACACACACAGTACTGTCCACTATAGGAAGATTTACACACACACACACATACACACATACACACACACACACAGTACAGTACTGGAAACATATTTTCTCTTTCTTGTGATTTTCTTAATGACATTTTTTCTCTAGCTTACTTTATTGTAAGAACACAGTAATTAATACGTATAACTTACAAAACATGTGTTAATAGATTGTTTATGTTATTGGTTAAGTCTTCTCGTCAACAATAGGCTATTAATAGTTAAGTTTTTGAGGAGTCAAAAGTTATATGTTAGGGGTGGGCGCCCCTAACACTCTGTTATTCAAGGGTCAACTGTAGGTCTACGAATGTATCAGTGTATCAATGCTACATGCACCTGTGGATTTTCTTAGGATCTTGTCTGGATGTCTGGGATACCATCCTCCTTAGCACCTAACCCTTAAACCTGTCCCAGATACCCAATTGTTCAAGTGAATTCCAACTATCTTCTTTTTTTTTAAGACTTAAAAATTGTTTTAATTTTATTTGAGAGAGAGAGAGAGAGAGAGAGAGAGAGAGAGAGAGAACACAAACAGGGGAGAGGGGCAGAGGGAAAGAGGGAGAGAATCCCAAACAGGTTTCATGCTCAGCACTGACAAGGGGCTCGATACCACAACCCTGGGATCATGACCTGAGCCAAAAATCAAAGAGTCAGATGCTCAAGTGACATAGCCACCCAGACGTCCCTTCAGCTGTCTTCTTTTAAATTCAACTGAAAAATCACTTTGTGATCACTCCTTTTTCAGTGTTAAATCTGCCTCTACTGTTGACATTACTACCCTGCATATAATTATGTATTTATTTGTCTCCCTCATAAATAGATGATGAGCAACTTAAGAGTGAGGACAATGCTTGGCAAAATGCTTGCTTAATAGAAAGTAAGCCCTGAATATAAGTGAAATAACATCTGTGCAACTTATTGAAGATTGAGAAGTTTTACGGATAATTTCTTTATAAACTGCTAAGACATTATTATTTTTGTATTATATTCTATTGCAAAAAAAATACATTCTTTTCTAAAAGTGACTAATGCAATGCAGATATTTGTAGGAGATCCGTATTACCATGAGAGTAAAATTATCATCATCATACGAATGATGAACTAATACCTAAAGCCAATATCAAAATCCAGCTCTATACTGTCCACCAGGGCCCCAGCAGGATACTGTACACGTATTTACAAATATTAATTCATTTAATCCTCATGAAACTTCTAAGTAGGTCATATGATTATCTCCATTTTACAAATAGGAAAATGGAAGCACAAAGAAATTAAACCATGGAGCTAAAGGTAGCAAACTTTGTCTTTCAAACTAGGCAGCTGGGCTCTAGAGCCTATTCTCTTCATTTCCATATATATTTAATAATAACCTTTACAAAGCAGATAGTAAAGATACGGTTTCCATTTTTGCTTCTTTAGCTATATTAACAGAGTATAGTTCATCTAAATGTGCTGCATGCCAAACAACAACAACAACAAAACAAAAAACAAGTGTGGCTTCCAGATTCCTTGCAGTGGAATTATGAATATATTATGAAATATAAGGAACACAAAAATGTTTCTTATCAACTTGAAATGTTCACTGACAACTATAACTCACAAGCCATGGCTTTAAAAATACTAGCTTAGGGGCTCCTGGTTGGCTCAGTCGGTTAAGCATCTGACTTTGGCTCAGGTCACGATCTCACGGCTTGTGAGTTCGAGCCCCATGTCAGGCTCTGTGCTGACAGCTCAGAGCCTGGAGCCTGCTTCAGATTCTGTGTCTCCCTCTTTGTCTGCCTCTCCCCTGGTTGCTTGCTCGCTCTCTCTCTCTCTCTCTCAAAAATAAACAAAAACAAAAAAATTTTAAAAACCCACTAGCTTAAAAACTTAACTTTTCTTCAATTTAACATTTTAGAAAAAACTATCAAATAGCAGTGAATTTAAAATAATTCTATGTGATAGATGGGTTTTATATGTACATACTACAGTTGCAATGACATTGCTGAATCCTTGTATATTGGGTGTGCAAAATGTTCCATGACACTGGAATACTTGTATACACTTCATTTAGGGATAAAAGATTAAGAAGGAGTAAACATGAAAAATAGAAGTTTAGAAATTGCCTCCCCAAATTAAGTATCCTCAATAACTTCTCTATTAATAATTTAATATAGTTTTGAAGACAGTAAAGGCTCATTTAAAAACTATATGAAATAGGTTACCTGCAAATGGAATAGAACTTTTTTATTTTTTTCTATCTCTGATGTTTGTGATTGTTGTTGCTTTGCAACTTGCTCTACAGCAGCAGTTAATGAAGACGTGCCTCGGTTAGCCAGAGCTAGACAAAAGAATAAAGTACGTAATACAAATTTAAGTGTAAACACTCAAAGAAAATTAGTGTTTCTTTACTCAAAGTTATGAAAAATGTGATGTTTCTCATCAATAAAGTATATTTAGGGTTGATAATATTCCCTTTCTGACCATAAACAAAACCAAAATCAAATGCCATAATACACAATTCAGAATCACCTACTGTAATGTTATACCTGTTCCTGTACAGAACGGTAGAAATATTTTGATTGTCCTACCTATTTTATCCAGACCATTTATACATATACATACAATGCTACCGTAACAACTATATAGCGATTATAGTTGATGAATTTTCATTATAGGCCTGTATTTCCAGGTTGTTATGCCTTTTCTAAACAACATATAAGTTCCTTCTTCGAGAAATTTAACAGTTCCCTTCTGTTCTATTTGGCTATAAATTTTAACACAATTATCCTATCATACTACCTTTTTATTGTTGCCTATCTTTTATTTATTTCTTAAGATTGCTTCATTACCTTCTTCAGGAATTCCTTGACTCTTCATTTCTTTGTTGCCTGACATTCTTCTGTGTCTCTTCCCCCTTTTTGATTCACCTTTTTTTGTGCCTATAAAATAATCAATATTGATAATTTATCACTTTTCCTTGTTGTTTTTTTTTTCTGTCATATATCCTGGTGATCCTGAAAGCAAATTAATTGTCAAAAACCTCAAAGGGATGGCAAGGATATTTCATCATTAGTTCCTAAAATTAAAACACAATGGTTAAGTGAAAAAGCTTTGGAGGAAAACTGAACTGTATTTGAATCTTGGTTCTCCTGCTTTTTAGCTGTTATGACCTTGGGACAGTTTCTTAACTTCTTTGACCATCAGGGTCCTCATCTATAAAGCCTCACAGTGCTGTCATAATAGTTAACGTAATATAGGTAGCATGCTTAGCATAGTACCTGACATATATAGTGAGTAATTATTATGGACTTTGTCTTGGGTTTCCTTTGCTAGTTCCTCTTCAGCTTTCCCATCTATGTCAGTGTCCCAATGCTAAGTCCTCAGGCATCTTCTCCATACTCACTCTTCAACTGATGTCACCTAGTGGCATAGCCTTAAAACCCACTTACAGGTTTTATCCTATTCATATCTCTAATCTGAACATCCTTCTCGACCTCCAGACTCATACCAAAATTGCCTACCTGATATCTTCACTTGGATTTTTATAGGCATTTCAATTTAATATAGTCCAAACTGAACTATGTATTTCTCTGTTCACTCTACCACCACCACTAAACCTGCTCCTTCACAGTCTCCTCCATCTCAATAAATGAAGTTTTTCCTGTTTAGGCCCAAAACCCTGGAGACATTAGTAAGGAGTTCTCTAAAAAAGTATAGAACAGGAGGGAGCAAAGCTAAATAAATGGCAGCTCCCTCTCCAATAAATAAATAAATAAATAAATAAATAAATAAATAAATAAAATAAAAAAGTAGAGAACACTCAGCAATTCAACAAGACTTCTTAAAGATAATCATAAATAAGAGTTCATTGTGGATGTTTCATAGGCCCTTTGGGAAATCCCTTAAGATACTCTCCAAATATGTGGCCCAGGACTTCTGTCTCAATTATCTACCCGAAGGACAAGCCAGAATCTTGACTTTTCTTTTACATGCTGCATGCAATTCTTTTAGCAAAACCTGTTGGTTCCCTCTTTAAATTATATTAGGATTCACTCACTACTTAGCACTTCCAAATACTATCTTAGTAGAGAAGCCTTCCCTGATAACCTTCTTTAAAACATGACCTCCCCTTCTTCATTCTCCATTTTCTGACCCTGCCTCATTTTTCTTAATAGCATTTGTCACTACTGACATTTTATATACATTTGTTTCTTCCTATCTCCCTTTACTAATATAAGGTCCACAAAGGTAGAGACCTGAAACAGTGCCTGGCACTTTCTAGGTGTCTGTTTGTAGTCTATCTTCATTCCAATTTACCCTGTTCTACTGATAGAATCTCCTAAAATACTGTTCCCGCCATGTCAACATCACAACCAATCTTTCAACTTCATCACAGATGGCATCTTCTTTAAGAAGTCTTTTTTGATCTTTTTGGGGAGATATAATCCCTCCCTCTTTCTGGTGCAATTTTTCTATATCTGTTATACTGTGATGACAGTTTAGGTTATAAAGTAAGACACAGCCAGCTTTGAATTCAGATTGTACCACTTACTAGTTTATTAGGCCCAACCTGGGCCTGATTCTTTATCTATAAAACAGAAACAATAGTAATACCTGTTTCATTAGAATTATTGTGAGGACTCAATAATGCATGACAACATTTAGCAAATTCCTGCTACTTAACAATTTTTATTTTTTTCTTAAAAAAAATTTTTTTAATGTTTATTTATTTTTGAGACAGAGAGAGAGAGACAGCATGAACAGGGGAGGGTCAGAGAGAGGGAGACACAGAATCTGAAGCAGGCTCCAGGCTCTGAGCTGTCAGCACAGAGCCCAACGCAGGGCTGGAACTCACGGACGGTGAGATCATGACCTGAGCCGAAGTCAGATGCTTAACCAACTGAGCCACCCAGGTGCCCCTACAATTTTTATTCTTATTATTTCCATCATTTTATACATATTTCCCCACTAGACTATAAGCTCCAGGAAGACACATACAGTGTCTTACTCATTTTTGTATTCCTTGAAAATTTGTTGGAGAAATGTTAAAAAATGGAAAACATTAGATTTATAATAATAAAAAATAACATAACTGGTACTTCTTGATCTCTATTTCTAAAGCAACATAAATTGAAAAACTCTTGGGTGACATTTATTTAAACCAACTATTTGTGAAAGGATATATGCTTTAAAATTGGGAAAGTTGTAGTTTTTTCTGGATCTCTATTGCAGAATGGACAAAAGATAAAAAAGAAAACAAACTACTGCCATCTACTGATAATTCATTATAATCATTTAAATCAATGAAAACGAGAGTTTAGAGACTAGACAGTATCAATTACTTTCTTTTTTTTTTTAACATTTATTTATTTTTGAGAGACAGAGAAGACAGAGTGTGAGCAGGGGAGGGGCAGAGAGAGAGAGAGAGTAACACAGAATCCGAAGCAGGCTCCAGGCTCTGAGCTGTCAGCACGGAGCCCGACGCGGGGTTCGAACTTACCAACCATGAGATCATGAGCTGAGCCGAAGTCAGAGGCTCAACCGACTGAGCCACCCAAGTGCCCCTCAATTACTCTTTCGTTCAAACCATATATGTGGGTACATATAATATATAAGGTATTTTGAGGAATATAAAGACAAATTAAGTGACTCTGATTTAAAAAAAAAAAACTACAGTATTTGATAGTAAATGTTCAAACTACATATAAAACACAATCATTTAGAAAATATACTTTCAACTAAAAAATTAGCTTTACAGAAAATAAGTTAATAAAAATACTACACTAAACTATCATTTTTCTATATTAACTATAATCAACATTGAGTACTTACAAGTAACTGACATTGTTCTAAGTGCTTTTACATGAATTATCTGTATTTTCCCTCAGAACAATCCTATAAGCTAGATATTATTTTTACCTATATTTTATAGATGAGTAAACTAAGACTTGTAGAAATTAAGAAATTAGCCAAAGGTCACACATCCAACAAGTAGGAAGGATGGAATTTGAAACAATTAGGATTCAAATTCACATTTATTAGGCACTTAACATGTATGAAAGCACTGTGATAAGCATAATTTGTGCATTATCTCTTTTGCATTGAAGAGGCAAGCCCCTCTATTTGACCCTTGGGATATTTTTAAAAGGCCATGGTTCCAGCTTTTGGAAACTCATCATCTGGTACCTCCTCCAAGTTAATGAGCAAAATAAAGCAAGACTGTCAAACTCCTCTGGGCTTTTGAGAGCTTTTGGCTTAGAAGCACTACAAGGAGGTAATTGTGTATGTGCAACCATGTCACATAAGCACCGGTTTTCATTCTGAATGGGAAAGCTGTCATGTGACAGCTAGGCAGTTAAAGTAGCTTATAATTTCATCCTACCCTTTTAAAATAGCGACTTTTCAGAAAACAGAAAATATTACCAGAAACATAATTTTTTGTGTGAAATTATTTTTGCTTTCTAAGTGGGTGGGGGAGTTTAATATCTAAAGCTGATATTTAGCTGGGAAAGCTAAAGAAAATTAACCTGGGGAAAGATGAGGTCAAAGAGTTCCCTGGAATCGAGCAAATTTTAAATTATGGTCTTTATTTGTCATAAACATGATGAACTCAGATCTGGGTGGTTCAATTCTAACAAATAAAGATAATAGTGGGGAAAATGTCACCCACTGCACAAATAAGTAAGAATACACACTTTTCAGGTAAAAAAGAGTGTAAGTCTTTTCAATCACATGTTTTTAAGAGAAGTTATAACATCATCCAAAGGAACTAATTAATTGGATCATTAAAAATGTATTCATACCTATTATATACTAGTGTGTTGGGATCTGCTAAGAGTAGTCATTACTCTCTTCTTTGACTAGGCAATGTGATTAAGGTTTCAGGATGCTGAAAACAGAAAGAAAAAAACCCAGGATTTGCAGTGTTCCTTAACTTCCTATCAAAGACAATACAGGCAACATTAATACATTAACCACCCTGCTTCTAACTTTCTACAAAAGGTGAGATTTCTCTGAATGTTCCGCTAGTAATGGACTACCAAGATGTCTTGTTTTAAAGTGTAAACATACAAAGATTGATCCGCAGCTTGAATCCAAGCTTTAAGGGATAGCTAGGCAACTGTTTCAAATAGAAATGATAGGTGTATGATGAAATCCAGTCACAGCCTACCTACGTGTTTCATTCAGGACAGTAAGAAGCAAGGTTTTTTTGTTCTTTTGTTTTTTTACTCTGTGTACAAGTAAGCATGATTTCTAACCAAGAGGAGCTTGTAGGTTGAATGGTGCCCCCACACCTATATGTCCATGTTCCAAACTCCAGAATCTGTGAATGTGCTAATTTGGAAAAATGGTGTTTGCAGTTGTAGTTAAGGATCTTGAAATGAGATCATCCTGGATTTAGGATTAGCCCTAAATCCAATGACAGGTGAGAGATGGGCTATGCAAACAGTGGGCAGACCATATATAAATACAGAATTCTGACCTACAATTGGCAGCAACCAACTCAGGAAACCAACCTGTTTCCTACAGTAACCAGACCAGGAAACCATCCTGCTGTCTATAAGCCAGGCTTGTAGGAAGCCAGACCACTATCTCTAATAACAATTCTAGAAGCCAAACAAAAACTTCTGTAACAACTGGCCCCAAAAGACCAGTGTTTGCTGGTTTGCTGAATAACTGACAGCTTCCCTAATTTTTGTCACCACTTCTATCTTGGGATCAATCAGAGAAAGCCAAATATGCACACTTAGCCAATCGCATAGGATGCCTTGCTTCTAGTTAGCCCACTTACAGCTTCCCCACGCCAATTGCCTCTAATCAGGGTATACTTGAAGATTTCCTTTTTTTCCACTATAAAGCTTTCCTACTTTGCCAACCCACAAGTGATGGTGGCCGACTTCCTTGCCATAGCAAACTCTGAACAAATAATCTTTGCCTGTTCTCATATGGTTGGCCATTATTTGCACACAAGTGTTCTTACAGCAGAAAGGTAGAGGGAGATTTGAGATTCAGATGCACATTAAGAAGACCATAGGAGGCTCAAGACATGGAGCCCCAAGCCAAGGAACGAAACACCTGGAGCTACCAGAAGCTGAAGAGGCAAGGAAAATGAGACACTTTGAAAGAAACATGGTCATGAGAACACCTAGATTTGGGACTTCTGCTTCCATAACTACGAGAGAATACATTTTTGTCGCTTTTAGCTATCCAGTTTGTGGTAATTTGTTATGGCAGCCTTAGGAAATTAATATAAGCTTTTAACAAGGAAATGTGCAATATTACATTTACTTTTCTTGAGGGACCCATGAATTAATGTAAATGTCTTAAAAACAACTGTTCGTTTTTCAGAATTTCATTTGTTTTCATAAGAAGATTAAAGATCTATACAGTGATAGAAGAACTTTTAGGGATTCCCCCAAAGTTTCCTTTAATAGCCAGGCACTATCTCTGCCCTCAGAATGCTCTACGTCTCTATGAAGGCGATAGACACACAGTAAAATAATTAAAATGTAGAGGTATAGTAGTTGCTCTCTTAGTCTACTTACACTAAAAACTCTAACCAATTAACTCATTCTATTTCCTTTATAAATCATAAACTGCTAATTCCCACATCATGCTGATTAGGAAACTACTCTCCTGTGAATCTGTCTACTTCTGCTCCTATCAGTACAATCTGACAGTGAGTTACCTGTGTTTGTTCCCAAACCTGTTTATGCCAGTTGTACTTGTTATTCTGCTTTCATAATTTAGTAATATGTAAAGCGATGAAATAGTGTGGAAATAAATTTCATTGTTTCTTTAAAATCTAATGTTTAATATTCTGGAAAGACCCCCAAACTGTGAGCTGTTTGAATGTGTGAGATCACAATAAAAGATTATAAAGGAGAAATCTGCACTCAGATAGCTCTGCAAGTGCCTTTATTTTCCTCTTAAAGGAATAAAATCTTAGGAAATCTTTGCTGATGGTTTAGAGGTGTAGTTTATGCAAGAAATGCAACACAAAACTCTAATCAGCAGAACTTGTGCAAAGAAAACGCCATGGCTTTCTCAGATTGGCAACAGAGCATATAGTTGTTTTAGGTTAAAACAAAATGTTTAAGATATTTATGTTATATTTCTATCACGACTCTCGGGTTAAACTGACCAAAACACATAAAACAAAAACAAAAAGCAAACCAAAAATAGCTTTGGGGTGCCTGGGTGGTTCAGTGGGTTAAGTATCCAACTTCATCTCAGATCATGTAGCTCAGGTGGAGATCTCAGGATTGGTGAGTTAGAGCCCCACATTGAACTCAGCTTGGAGCCTGCTTGGGATTGTCGGTCTCCCTCTTTCTCTGCCCCTCCCCCCACTTGCATGTGCTCTTTGTCTCTCTCTCTCTCTCTCTCTCAAAATAAATAAACTTTTTAAAAAAGCTTTATTTAGAGAAAAGTCATATACTATCAAGTTCATTCTTATAAAGTTTACACTTCAGAGCACCTAGGTGGCTCAGTAGGTTGAGTATCTGACTTCGGCTTAGGTCATGATCTCACGGTTCATGGGTTCAAGCCCTGAGTCAGGCTCTGTGCTAACAGCTCAGGGCTTGGAGCCAGTTTTGGATTCTCTGTCTCCCTCTCTCTCTCTCTCTCTTTCTGCCCCTCCCCTGCCCACTCTCTGTCTCACTCAAAAATAAACAAATATTAAAAATATTTAAAAAATAAAAAAATATGAATAATACCTTCAATGTTTAATTGACTTTTTCAATTTATTAGTAGGTTATGGGTCCAGAGTACATCAATGAGAGGGCTTCTTCTGTGTGAACAAAATGCTAAGGAAGAAGCAATTAATTCTGTCTGGTGAGAGGATGGGGACTCAAGGAAAGTTATGATTGGTTTTAAAGATCTTAAATAAGCAGCAAATAAATAAGTGTCAAAAGAGAAGGGTGTTCTAAGTAAAAGGAATAGCAAATGTAAAGGATAAAAATCTTGTAGTTCATCCAAGGAACAGCCTTTAGTTTAAATGGCTTGGGAATAAGGCATTTGTTTTTTCAAACCTAATTATGCATCTGAATCATCTGTACACATTAAAAGAAAACAAATAGCAGGGAAAAACAAGCCCAGACTTGACTCCCAGAGATTCTGATTTAAATGTATATGGAGTGGAGTCCCTAGATTTATTTACTTTTTTTGTAGGTTCTACTTGTAGTTCTGAGGTGCAGCCAGGATTAAGAACCACCCGAGTGGGGTAAACCGGGATGAGAGAAGAGAGAGTTAGGAGATGAGGCTAGGTAGTAGTCTAGGAACAACTGGTGAAAGGAAATAGTATGTAAATACAACAAGATGACAAACTATCTCTTTCCTGGTAGCTTCCCTATTTTGAAACATTAAAAACAATTTTTAACGTTTATTTATTTTTGAGAGAGAAACAGAGCACGAGCAGGGGAGGGGCGGAGAGAGAGAGGGAGACACAGAATCTGAAGCAGGCTCCAGGCTCTGAGTTGTCAGCACAGAGCCTGATGCAGGGAACTCGACTCTCCAACCTTCCAAGGGGGAGAGCATGACCTGAGCCCAAGTCGGCTGCTTAACCGACTGAGCCACCCACACGCCCCTGAAATATTTTTAAACTTTTGACTGCCACTACTGTTTCAGGAAAAGAAAATGAATTCCCACCACTGTCTATAAAAACAGGGATAAACGTTTTAAACCAGCTTTGTAACTCAAAGATTTCTATTTTACTTAAGGTAATACTTAACATAAAACTCAGAGAGCAGAGTGCACCTTCTGATCAAGTGTACCATCTACCACTCAGGGTTTTTAACAAATGTCCAACAAAAATCATGAAAATACAAATTTGGACAGAACACCTGCCAGGGATACTAAACAGCAAGTTCCTGTTCTGGGCTGGTGATCCCATCACCTAGTTAAATAGAAGGGAGGCACTTGCCCACTTCCAAATGCTCTTCTAAACTCCCAGATATGTAAGGCTCTCTCTTTCAGGTTAAATTTCTTCAGCATTTATCATCTAAGCAACAATGAAGACAAAAGGGACCTCTCCTTCCATCATAACCAGCTCCACAGGAAGCACCCTTTCTCCTACTCCGTGAAGGTCGGATTGACTCTCCCTTTACCATAGCATCTGCCTTCCATGTAGCAGCTGTTCAATATTTTTAAATGATTGTTACCCTCTTCGAGGTTAGATAAGGGATGCTAATTTATTGCATTTCTAAGAGTCACTGCCTTCTAATGTTCTACTAGGGGCTCATATTTTTAAACGGGCATACAAAAAAGTCAGTACAAGGGGCTGTATGGAGTTTTGGTCCCGTCAGCAAGTAAGGCGGAATCAGCAAAAAGGCAAAGGAAGGTTCAACCAAGTTATTTCCGAGAACAAACAACACACTGTAAAAAACAACAGCAAGCGGCCGCCTGGGTGGCTCCGTGGGATAAGCATCTGACCTTGGCTCAGGTCTTGCTCTCCGGGTTGGTGAGTTCCAGCCCAGATCAAGCCCTCCGCTGTTAGCCCAGAGCCCGCCTTGGATCCTGTTCCGCGCCCCCCCCCCCTCCTTCTGCCCCTCCCCTGCTGGCACATTGTCTCTCAAAAATAAACAAACATTAAAAAAAAAAAAGCAAGAACAACAAACCAAATCCCCGCCCCAAGAAGGCCTATTACTTGAACCATAGGAGGTTCTCAGGGTTGGGCTCTAGGAACGAAACCAAAACTCTGCTCACACAGCTGGTCCGGGACTGCTTGGGCGGGAGGGGGGGTGCCGATTTGGGGAAGCCCACTCCCGGAGACGGAATCCGTTCACAGAACGGCGTCTGCGATTGGTTCCCCACGACGTTCTCCCGCCTTACCCCGCACAGGGGCCAGCCCGCCAGCCCGCCCCTTCGCGGACCCTCCTCCTCCCCGCCGCCCCGCTCCCCTCACGGGCCTTCAAATCGACCAGCCGCCCCGCTCCCCTCACGGGTCCGGCCTCCCGCCGGCCAGCTCCTCGCACGGGCCCCCCAGTCTGGCTGCCCGCCCGCTCCCCCTCACGGCCCGCCGCCCTGGCCCCCGCCCGCTGACCCGCCTGGCTCCGGCCAAAGGGCCCCGGTTCCTGTTTCTCTTGCCTAGACAGGGCGGCGGAGGACGGCCTCGACGGGCCGCGCTGACCCGGAACTACTGAGGTGGCCGCGGGGGCCGGCTCTCGGCTCTTCCCGGACTTTCCCCGCGCCGGGGCTCGGCCCGCCTGGCCCCTCGGTGCCCAGCCCTCTCCCTCGAACTCGCTCGTGCCCCCGTGCCGCTCGCCGGCCTGGCCGGGCCCGGGCCTCTGCAACAGCGGGACCCCCCGGCCGTCGAGTCCACTCAAAGCCGGCACGCCACCCCGCGGCTGGTAGGCAGTGAGGTGGCTGAGGTGGGGCGGGCGCCGCAGTGGGCGGGGCCGCGGGGCGGGGCTTAGGATTCCAGGTGCCCAGCTCGCGGCTTCCGGGTTCCGTGCAGGCTCGGGGCTGGGGTGGTGGCGGTGGCTGCCGGGCGCTTCCGAGCTCGCAGCAGACTGGGAGTATAGGTCTAAGCGGAGCGTGGGCAGGCGGCACGGGGAAAACTGCCTACGGTGCACGTCCGTATGTCAGGAAGTGCCAAGGGGGCGGGGAAGAGGCGGTGGTGGAGCTCGGGCAGGTGGAGACCGAGCGTGGGACCGGGCCGGGACAGACGCTTTTTGCGGCATTTCCCAAGGCAGAGGGGAAGGAGGCCGTCACCCTCCTAGCTTCTCTCAATGTTTTTCAAAACTGGCGAGGTGAACTTCAGCGGGAGCCCAGTACGGTATGGAGTGGAGGTTGGGAGCGGCCCCTGAAGAGAAAGCGGAGGCCTTGGGGTGGGAGTGCTGGGGCTGGAGGGGTGAAGATCCACTCTGGGCGGGGCCTGGGCCCTGAGTAAGCAAGAGGGTAGGCAGCGCGTCTGATCCAAATCGTGGTAGTCTTTGTGCCCATTGCCCTACTTGGAGTGCTTTGTAAATCCTGGATCGTCTCAGCTTTTATCCCCTTAAAAGCGTGAATTTTAGTGCAGCTCCATTTAATCTGTTGAACCTAAGGCCCCAATGTGTCATATGAAGAGGTGTGACCTAATATGCCAGTCACATCAAGATTAATGATGTATATAACATAAACTGACACCCTGTAATTAAAAAACAAGACTTCATCTAGGTCAACAAGTAATTCCCTACTTAAAACTTGCTGTGTGCAAACACACACACACACACACACACACACACACACAGAGGAACTGTAGTCCTGCTGAAAAGATGTACAAATACTTTCACAAAACAAATTAAAAGATGGTTCTCCTCTCATGGTTCACGTAGGACAGATAGTGGACTGGCTTTAATGGGAGAAGTCTAGATTTACTATTTTACTACCTTTTTAGATCCGTGAACCTTCTTTTTTTTTTTTTTTTTTTTTGATGTAGGCACAAATTTCTGTTGTAACTGTAAGAAGATTGATATAATTTTGCATTCTTAGGCTAATTTTTCTTTATAGGTGATTTCTTAGGAGGCACAGAAGTGTTTGAAGGGCTGCGTACCCTATTGAAGGATGGCAGAAGCGGTGTTGATTGATTTATTTGGTTTGAAATTTAACTCTCAGAAAAACAGTCACCAGGTATTACTGAAGACACTGAATGCTGTCCGATACCATCATGCTGCCAAGGCCAAGTTTCTTTGCATAATGTGTTGTAATAGCATCAGCTGTGAAAGGGATGGGGAACATAACTTTGAATTGGAAGCAAGCAATGGATTATCAACTCTCTTGAGAGAGTTTGAGACTGTTAGCCATCCTAGTATGGCTGCCTCTTTGTATACCATTAAACAAAAAATTGATGAAAAAAACTTGAGCAGCATTAAGGTAATTGTACCCAAGCACCGGAAGACATTGCTGAAAGCTTTTATTGATCAACTCTTCACCAACGTTTACAATTTTGAGTTTGAAGATTTACAGGTGACTTTGAGGGGAGGTCTTGTGAAACAGTCCACTGAAATAAACATGATCACAGATCAAGAACAAGAAGCAATCCAGAATGAAATAAAAACATATTTGAGAAGTCTGCCAGCTCTGAAAGGAGAATTAACCATTATCACATCTCCATTAATCTCAGGTATATTAAACACTGTGTTGTTCTTACTGTATACATGAAAAAAAACAGTCTTTCTTTAGAGGCTGGTCACCTTTTTCCCCTTCCTCTCTTGTAGACTGTAGGGTTTATAAGCTCATTGGCATCAGTTGCAACATGG